CGACAGAAGATTACTACTTCTACCCAGGAGTTTTCCAGGGAATGAATCTAGGATTCAAGACTCTAAGGTCATACTTAGAAGTGTCCCCACTGTATGCCTCAAACTCCCACTCGTTCTCACCAGGCAGTGACTCTAGCATGGGTGACCTGTCACGGCTCATCTTTCGGTTTCATTTGCAGCCAGCCGAACTAGTGATTAAATCCCAGGCATGAATTCAACATACTCTGCTCTCTAGCTGTCGAAGGTAAAGTTCATCAAATGCTGTCATGAAGACCATGTGATATTCACAGGATGCCCTGAGTTGATGGAAGTCTCTTTCTTTAAGGCTTTATGGCAGTTAAGTCCACGGTCATAGTTATGATCCCCCCTGCCAAGACTTTGAAGTGCTAAGGTTGCTGCACAAACCAGCACTTCTCCTCCAGCCTATATTTCAGTCTATCAAACACAGTTATATTCTCAATAATTATCCTATAGCACACCAGGATAACCACTATCACACTTACCGTTAGCATTACATAGTGCTTACTGCCCCTGGTAAGTCTTCTAACCATAAGATCCCCTGATGAAGGTCTGTTACCAAGAGCCACTTTCGGGAGCAACTGCCTTAGCTGGAATTACCTTAGTAGCAGATGCCAAGGTAGGATGGGGGTGCTTGCCAAGGGCAGTCATCTCAGGAAGCACGTGACACAATGGGAAATGTAGGATAAACTCTCACCCTTCACTGGTGGAGGATGACCCATTTTGGCATAAACTATCTTATATTTCCTGGTTGCACTGGGCAGAAATAAGTATCTCTGGAACTGAAAGAGGAACAAAGATTCTCCTACTTTATGTGGAACACTGGAAAGGACAGGAAACTGTCCCTACAGCTTTGGTGAAAGTATGACAGCCAAGGGAGTTATTAGCAAGATACATCATAAGTATCTGCCACAACATTTTATCAAAACTTCTTTTACCATTTTTATTTTATTAAAATAAATTATCTCCCACTGAAGAACACCAGTTTCTATCACAACGGTTGTTATAAGGCTGAAGAAAAAAAAAATTAACTACTGACCTTCTTTACACTATTACACTGAAAAGGAATTTGAGTGAGTGAGAGACATTGCATTTTACAGAATGCAAATATGCATGACCTTCACACTGTAAAACTGATAACATGTTACAAAAATAATACGTTGTGTTTTCTTTGAAGTCAGCATGTTACTCCTCAAAAGTAAACAAGTGTCGTAGAGAATTATCACCTTGCTCATTACACATTTATCTTACAGTTCATATCTCCATTAAATAATGTTTTAAGTGACCACTTCTGAGTTCCAGCTGTGGTTTAGGTCAGAGCCAGAACCCTGGCAACGCAAATAATGCAGTGCCCCTTTGAATGAACATTTTGGCCCCATTACTGAAGCCCTGTTCACAGTGTCTGCTTCTGCTATTCCCCTTCCCCCAGCTTACATCACAGGAAATGCATTCTTAAAATGTTCTCCATTTTCTTCCTTGAGCAACGGGTGGGGTGCATGGGGAAAAAACTCTAGAAAGAGCCCTTGGGGGACCCCAATCCCTGTGACTCCCCCCACCCCAAGAGCTCTGCACTCTACTGCCTGTCCAAACTAGAGCAGCAGTCTATCAACTACCTCAGCTCAAGTCTTCTACATTTCCAGCTCGTCTCGCTGAAGGTAAGCCAGTGTTCCTGTCTCATGTCTCCCGGAAAGCTCTTGTTTCCCTTCAGATTTTTGGCTATTTGTTTACCCTGTAGTCTCAATTCTGCAGTGATTTCCAGAAAAGTCATGGATTTGCAGTTTTCCCAGCTCTTGTTTCTTTCATTGTAGGGGTCAGAGCAATGCTCTTGCCAGCTGTCTGTGTCCTTGAGCAAAAGCTTGAAATGCTGTAACCTTCTTCATTTTCACTCCCTTTTTTTACTGATAAAGTTTCTCCTTCTGTTTACTATATTCTCCACCCAGAGTATTTCACCTCCTCCTTCAAGTTCCAGCTCAAGTATCCTCTTCTCAAACTTTCCTGATCCCTCCAAGGTAAATTAATCCCACCTTTTCAGTACTCCAGCAAAATGTTCTTCATTCCATTCCAGTATAAACATACTGAACACTTAACACTGTAGTAGAGATGACACGGTCCCCAGAGAATTTCATTCTAGCAAAGGTTACAGGCGAGTGCACAGATAATACAAGGAACACATTAACATAGGAAGAGAATGCATTTTAGTTTGAAGAGGTTATAAAATTTTAGTTTGAGGAGGTATAAATACACAAGATGCGATGTCCAACTATAAATTTAAAGCCAAACAAAAATTGTCCTGTGAAAAGGGAAAGGTTCCCAAGCATTTCAAATCACTGAAACAGCAAATTAGTATATTACATTTTGGCGTCTCCACTGTTAGCCTGAAAGATACTTTCAGCAAAAACTATGTGATATTCATCTTCATTAATAGTATAAGCACTAACTTAATAATTATTTGGCGATTTGAATGACTGGCTTTGCTTCCTAATAAGAGTGGTTTTTTTTTAGTATAAGCACACTGTAGAAAATAGTTGCTTTAAGAATGATGATCCTATTTTCAGTGCCCTGCACTCAAAAGCCAAATAAATAAAGAAAAAATAATGAATATAATTCTATCTGGAAAGGCTATCTACAAAGTACTGTACAAATTAGTATTCCAATTTTTCCCTTGCTTACAAAAATTATAAATAAGAACTAGGGCAAATTGTACTTTCATCATTCAGAACTATGTAATTTATTTTTCTACTATTTCATACATATGCCAAATCCTGTTACTTTGTATTTCTAAAGTGATAATCCCATGATTTCAATGAATTAAAATACTGCTCTCACTAATCTGGAAACAAAAGCATCTTACTAAAATACCACATCACAAATTATTATAGATGGTTATATCATTTAAGTAAAAATATAGTACAAATTAAAGATGGCAGTTTTAATTGATGGAATAATGGAATCTTAGAACAAAAATAAAATATTTCTTCTCTATGTCCAGGACCTGATACATAATTTGTGGCAGAGGGAGGCTAGAAGAAGTACAAAATAAAAATGTAAGGCTCTTGCTAAAAATTTATTAAGAATTTGAAGATGGTGATAGCAGTACATTAAACCAAGCACGATGCCCTTCTAGACACACACCCAAGAAGGTGGCCCTACTTACAAATTTTGTATTCAGTGAAATATTAGAAGTATCTTCTGTCTTAAAACACAGAACTCTGATTTAAATCCTTTGGTATTGAGACCAAAACAGCCTTCCTTAATAGGAATTTCCCTAAGATCTTATGCTTTCACTTCCTTTTTTTAAGTTTAGAGACTATGGAGAAGAAATAAAAACTGGTCTGTTCACCTTCTCTGAACTTGAAAACCTATGACACCTTAGTGGCTAGCCAAAGATATGTTCTTCTAACTTGAAATGCTTAAAATAATTCTACAGCAAATAATATTTTTGTTTTAAACAAGAAGAAACAAAATGATCATTTTCCCTGGTTAACAGACTTCTTTGGACATAAAAGTTTTATTTTTTTCCCATGGAAAATGTTCTTTATTTTGAAATTAAAGTGAAAAAATATAAATGAATAAAATACTTTACAAATGCATGTGGAAAGTGCTAATGTGCCTAATGCTTCATAATACATATATGGTCCAGATAAAAATTAAGGGAAATACCTACTATTTTACTTGTTTATTTATGTATTTATTTGCCACCCTACAGTACACCATTAGTTTTTGATGTAGTGTTCCATGATTCAATGTTTGTGTATAACACCCAGTGCTCCATGCGATACGTACTCTCCCTAATACGCATCAGCAGGCTCACTCATAACCCCCAAAACCCTCAGTTTGTTTCCCGGAGTCCATAGCCTCTCATGGTTCTTCTCCCCTTTTAATTCCCCCCCTCTTCATTTTTTCCCTTCCTTTTCCTAATGTCCTCCATGCTATTCCTTATGTTGCACAAATAAGTGAAACTATATGATAATTGACTTCTCTGCTTGACTTATTTCACTCAGCATAATCTCCTCCAGTTCCATTCGTGTTGATACAAAAGTTGGGTATTCACCCTTTCTTATTTTTTCATAATTTTATAGTTATTATAGAGTTGATGATTTGTGTCAAATACAGTACATTTATACCTAATATAGGTGCATATATACAACTCCGAAACAAAAACTATTTTAATATTATATGTCATATATAAATTAGAAAAAAAGAATGTTTAGATACCACGAAACAACTGCTTTTTAGGGTTATTTTCTTGAGGGGGAGAATAAATCTTGAGAATAACAATTAAATTATAAGAAGACAAAAATCATTCATAAAACTACTGAAAGCAGGGCGCCTGGGTGGCTCAGTCATTAAGCATCTGCCTTAGGGTCGAGATCAAGCCCCACATCGGGCTCCCTGCTCAGCGAGAAGCCTGATTCTCCCTCTCCCTCTGCCTGCCTGCCACTCCCCTTGCTTGTACTCTCCTCTCACTATCTCTATGTGTGTATCAAATAAATAAATAAAATATTTTAAACAAATATTGAAAGCGAGTAAAAAGAGTGGGTTCGTGTCTAGTGAAAGAGTGAAAAAGAAGTATAAGGAACCACTTAAAAAGCTTAAATAACTACAATTATAATTAATAATGACAGATTCAAAAGAAAGGCGAGAAATATGATTTTTTATTTAACAGGCTATGGAGGAAAATCATAAAAATAAAATGAAAATTTAATGTATGCATTTTTCAAAAAAATTAAGAATGTTTCTTTTTTTAGAGAGATACCAAAGACAAAGATATTCTATGGGTTCTTTTAAAGCCCCCACAAAACTACCATTTTTAAAAGGCTTACGTTTTTTATGAGAATTGATAAAATGCAAGTAAACCTAGTTTACAATAATATGGGTTGCTTAACTAGCACAACACTAACCTTAAAAAAGGAAAGCCTGTAACAATTAGTTTATAGCAAAAGTTCAATCTACAAAAGTTCTAAAAAGTCATTTTTACTTACAGTTGGCATTGATCACCTTTGATTCCTTTCGTTGTGCAGAAACATTTTCCTGTGTGCATGTGACAAATATTTGCATGGCCACTGCATGTACAAGCTGTAAGTCAAAACGAAAATGACACTGAATATTCTCCATCACAAACATGCATCACATTTCATTTGGGGCTTTATTTTTATACCATGTCTTTTCCCCTGGCCATCCAAAAACTAGAGTTACCTCATAAGTTATTTTTTTATTAAAGGGAAGTAAATTCACTTATTGAAAAATTTTGTGAAACTCTTTAAAGACTTTGGGGTATCCTGAAGTTAAGTATGGATCCAAGTATTATTGCATTCTTCTTTGGGCTCCTCTCCATTTCTAGTTAAGCAAATGAATTTCAAAGAGCTTAAGAATTTTGGAATCAAAGGCTTAGATTCAAAATGTACATCTATAATCACCATCTACCTTGGGCAATTTATTTAACTTCTCTGCCTTAGTTTATTCATCTGCAAAAGATAATAATAATGATGATGATGATGATGATGATGATGATGATGTTTCGCTCTTAATACTGATGTGAAGATTAAATGAGATCGCGTATTTTTAAATACCTAACACATATCGAGCGCTTAATAAATAAAGCTATTACTTCTACTACTATGACGTTGCCAAAAATAATAAAAATATAGCTATATATCATGTAAATAAAGCATGCCTCTTTATTGCCCCAAATAATCTTATTTTGCTTCTGAGATCACTCTCAGTTTTAATATTATACAATATTAACTGAAACATAACAGGGGACTCATTTCATTTTATTATTTTGCATTCCTTGTTAAAGAGTAGCATTCCAATTATTTGAGACACAAACTCCATACTTATTGTGTCCACCATCCAAACAACTGGTAAGTTCTATTTCAGCATGCACAATCTCTCTCATATCTGCACAATCTCTCTTATATTGTGATAACCACTGTACTCGGTGGGACAGCATATGTCACTGACATATGTCGGTGTCACACACTGACACTGTATTGTGTCATTCACGGTCATATGTGAATGACACAATACAGTCACGTATCTGATCTACCATCAGTTATTTCTAGGCTACAATGCATTTGCCAATCCTGAGACAGCCTAAAGAGACCAGGCCAACCATGCTACTAGCTCTTTCAAAAACTTCAATGAGAACTACCGTGTCCTGCACACCTCCAGCTAGTTAAACCACTCTCTGATATAAATGAAACAATGTGGTTTTTTCTTGGTTCACATACACATGTAAAAATAAGTGAGTTTTGATCAAAATATAAAACACTCTAGAACAGGGGCACCTGAGTGGCTCAATGGGTTAAGCTTCTGCCTTCAGTTCAGGTCATGATCTCAAGGTCCTGGAATCGAGCCCCGCATTGGGCTCCCTGCTCAACAGGAAGTCTGCTTGTCCCTCTCCCTCTGCCTGCCTCTCTGCCTCCTTGTGATCTCTCTCTGTCAAATAAATAGATAAATTTTTTAAAAAATACTCTAGAAACTAAGCATCTTGCTAATTGTTTATGATTATTTGCTTTGAAAAATATAGACGATTAATATAAAGTAAATACACACACATATAAAGTAAGTTTTGGTACTAGATAGATTCTTAAGAACGTGGTTTTCTGGCTAAAAGAAATTTCTACATAAAAGTTACCTAAAGAATATTTAAATAAATCAGCATAATTTTCCTTTAAGTTTATAGAATTAACTATGGAAACACACAGTGCGAGAATTACAGAAATGAATTTACGGGACTCTAAGATATATTGATAACATGTAATTTCATAAATAGTAAATGAATATACCATGATATCTTAATATTAACTTGCAGAGGCTCATACTAATATTGTCTTATAGTCAGAAATTCACTAAAAATAATGATGCATATTAATATTTTAAAACTTAGATAAACATTTTATTTACCCTTTATGGCAGAACTAAATAAGAGTTATGTTTGCAGAGTTCCTTTGAAGAATTGCCATTGTATAGTAGCTTTAATAATTCCTGAGACCAAAAAAAATTGTGTTAAAATGCTTTTAATGTAAGCCAATTTTGAGAGAATTCCCTTGCGGTTTTGTACGTCAGGTTAAAATGGCACAAATGTATTTCAAATTCAATTGTTTAAAATTTACACTTCATGAGAGTGTTGAAATTACTCTGTTGTCAGCATCTGAGGCTATCTTTTTATGCTGAATAAGCACGTATGAAATCATCATACAGTGGCCTCTTGTTTGGCAAATTTTATATGATGATGATTTTATAGCCTAGACATACACTGAAGGGACATTTTGTGGTCACGTGTTATTTCTGTTCCCCTACAGTATAAAGTTGCAATATTAACTTATAACCAAGACTGAACAATAAGGATAGAAAAAATAAAGATGCTCTAAGGGTTATTCTAACAAGTTGTACATGAAGAATATATAGAAACATGAAACCAAAATGGTAGTCAGCATTGGCAGGACTTGTTTCTAAGTCAGCTTATGTGTCAAAGTCCCTTCCATTGCTAGATCCTTATTATCTGTTGAATACCTATAACAATAATTTCTGGAAATTAGGAAATCGTGTCCGTTTAATATGCACTGTATATATCTAGCGTATTATACTTTATATTTACTAGATCTGCTATACATTATATATCAAGGGAGTAAGAATTCTGACAAAGGCAAATGTTCAAATAGCTGATCTAAATTTCTATTCAAACTTACATTTTTACTTACAACTCTAAGCCCAAATTTTCACAGATGTATGGTTTATGAAAGAGGGGAAACAGAATATAGCTGCTTTTTATATAAATAAACATGAAATGCTAATACCAATATTATCTTAGCAATCTGAATTTTCTCATTAAAAATGCTAGAATTAGGGGCGCCTGTGGCTCAGTGGGTTAAAGCCTCTGCCTTCAGCTCGATCATGATCCCAGGGTCCTGGGCCAGGCTCTCTGCTCAGCAGGGAGCCTGTTTCCTCCTCTCTCTCTCTCTCTGCCTACCTGTGACCTCTGTCTGTCAAATAAATAAATAAAATCTTTTTAAAAAAAGTGCCAGAATTAGAACTATTGCCATGTCCCTGTTGTTGAGAGAGTATGATTTTTTTTTCCTACTGAAAAACTGATAGTTCTCAAAATTAAAAATGGGCCATCAATCGGACTTACAGAGATTACTTTTAGTCAGGATATTTGACACCTGTACTTGCCTAAATAAAGAGTAAGTAGTAAAACTCAGTTAGTCAGCCCTAGATCCAGTATTTACTGAATGGGATGGGGGTATAAGGCACCGCTTTAGAACTGTAATTAAGATGGCAAAGAAGGAACGCCTAGATAGCCCAGTCAGTTGAGCATCCAACTCTTGATTTCAACTCAGGTCATGATCTCAGGGTTCTGGGATAGAACCCCTCAACAGACTCTGTGCTCACCAGGGAGCCTGCTTGAGGATTCTCTCTTCTTCTCCCTCTGCCCCTCCAGGCCTCCCTCTGCTTGTGTGCTCTCTCTCGCAAATAAATAAATAAATCTTAAAAAAAAAAAAAAAAAAAAAAGTGACAAATAAGAATCCAGAACTTAAGTAACTGGAACCTTCAAGCAAATGGCACTGTTTCAAGGATTTCAGTGATAGGTTAGAAAGTCATAAAGTGCCAACAGGGCTTTAAAATTTATATTTTATATTCCAAAGCTGTCCAACATATTCAAAAATGGAGAGAAGAAACTCTAACCATCTATTCTAACTATATCCCTGGGGCCAAATCTGGCCCAATTCCTGTTATTGTACAGTCCATAAGCTAAGAATGGTTTTTACATTTAAAGAATTGTGAAGAAAGAGAAGGAGGTGAAGGTGGAGATAAAGGAGAGAAGGAGAAGGAGGCAGAAGAGGCAGAGACAGCAACAGCAGCAACCATAAGTAGCCCACAAAAAACAAAATTTACTATTTAACCCTTTAGAAGAAAAAAAGCATGCCAGTCCCTGATCTATAATCACCAAGCCTGCAATCACATAATTTGTCAGCATTCCATTCTGGTTTAATTTTAAAAACTGAAATCATATTTAAAACAATTAGTTTTTTTTTCCTAATAGAAGAAAGTTAAGCAAAAACATTAAATATTTAAAATATTAAAATATTAAAAATGTCACCAAACTAAATTTTAACTCAACTTCTAAAAACTGAATTCTTAATAACCTGTGTTTACTTTTATAAAAGAGTAACTTTAATCTTGCTTCAATATCTTTGATAAAAGAATAAACCTTTAGTCATATTTTATTTTCTTACTCTAATTGGCTAGATTTCTTGACTGCTGCTAATGACTACCATTAAAGTATTTAAATCCTTTAAAATTGACTTCTTATACTTTATTTAATCTGTTTCTCATTCATCTAAAAAAACAACAAAATACCAATATCCCAGGCTATAAATGAGACTTTTAAGAATGACACATTATTAAAAGCTATTCACAAATATTATTACTTGCCTCAAGTTCAAATTCTTAAATTCCAAGCGACTGAATCTTTACTGTCTATTTTGAATCTGCATTGTTTTCAATGAGATTACTTTATAAAATTACCTTGAATAGATATTAGATGATGAATCAAAGAATCTGAAAAAATGTTGATATTATGTAACAAAATATGTTTTATATTTTGTAACATAATAACAATATTTTGTATCTATATATGACTGTACTATTTCTGATGTATTTTCATACACATTACTTCTTTAATCTTTTGCCTCACATATTATACCCATTTGACAGAGGAACAGCTTCAAAGAAATGAAAAAAAAAAAGTTTTTTATGGGAATAGATAAATTGATAATGGTCATCATATAAAAAAATAAACAGGCAAGAAAAGCCAGGAAAACACTAAAAAAAGAAAAGCTTAAAAAACAAAGAACCAGCCTACTAGACATTAAAGCATTTATAAGCTCTCTATAATAAAAACATTGTAATACTGGTGTATCAAGAGACAAACAGATCAGCAGAGTAGAATAAAAAATCCATAATACATTTGCAACTTTAGAATATAAAAAGCTTGTATATTAAATCATGGATCAAAATGAATTTTTTAAAACAAATGTCAATTGGACAACTGATGGAAAAGGTAAATT